CTTTACTTGAATTTTAGATGTACTAAAAAAAGAAGACTAGATTATCAAACTAGACTAGCAATGCCTTAAACATTCATCAAAATAAATTATATGCGTGTTCCTGACCGTATTATACCGAATGATCGAAAAAAACGGCGCCCAGTTGAAAATGAATATCTTTTACATTCCCTATATAATTTTACATATAAAATGACAGCGATCTTTATTTCATAGTCATCGCTGACGCAGATTTTTTTCCATCATAGGGTACCTGTAGTAGAAGAACACAATCAGCTTTGCACAAAAACCAGTACCGAAATCGTTTTATACAGGTTGTTTGATTTTCATATTATCTTGTATCTATCTTTCCGTACCGATGATGATTTCGAAACCGGTATATCGGTCTTGTAAAAAATGATACCGATACCGGAATATTTCAAAAGTACCGGTCCTGGTACTGGTATACCGCAAGACCGAACATGCCTAGATCGGCATCCTTAAATGAGCGTTTGTGATTCACAATCACAAGTTAATACCGTTTAAAGCATAATTCAGGACACTCCATTTTTCCATGTAGAAACTGCTATACAAAAGGATTGCATGTATTGCATGTTATAATTTGAAATAAACCATATGCGAAAATGTCAAAAGTTGACATATGAGATGTCATTCTATCTAGAGTGTCATTTTCTATCAAATAAAATAGATATTAATATTAATAAATAATATTTTCTTGCCTTTAGTTGTGTATTTTTTCTAGTTTCGAAAAATCGAAAGTAGAGAAAAAAAATAAAAAATATAAAAAGTAAAAAGAAAATTGTTTTGCTTGTCGTAAAGGGGGGAACCAAGCTCCACTCCCACAACCGGTTTCTGGGCCTACCCTTCATCAGGTGGGCTGCCCAGGGGCTGGTTCTCACCGACACGGCAAGCAAAACTTCTTCTATATCAACAGACGATGTCGTAAAATGTCGGTGAGATATTAGTGCATCTCCCGTCAAAAGATGGTAAAGAGCGTTTTTCGGCCCGCTCAAATATATATGAAATGAACGAAATTCTTACAGCTTTAGTGTATATTAAAAAATAATATTTTCTTGCCTTTAGCTGTGTATTTTTTCTAATTTCGAAAAATCGAAAGTAGAGAAAAAAAAATAAAAAGTCAAAAGAAAATTGTTTTGCTTGTCGTAAAGGGGGGAATCAAGCTCCACTCCAAAACGCTCTTTACCGTCTTTTGACGGGAGATGCACTAAGATGGCCTTGCCACTATGATGCTGTCAAAGCCTTAAAAAATAATTATGATGACATTATGAAAATTTTCAAAAGTTTCAGCGAAACTGAGGTTGAGAAAGTTGATTTCCGGAAAGAGGCACGAAATTTATTCAATAAAATGGCGAAACTCGAGACTGCAATTTTGATTATCTTTTGGGAAGAAGTTTTGGAGAGATTTCATTTAGTTAATAAAAAAAAATACAGAGCCCTGGTTTAGACATTTGTGAAGGCAACAAGTTAATTGTTTCTTTAAAAGACTTTGTGAGCAACATACGACATCAATCAGATCAAATGTTACAGGAATACGACGAAAAAGCTAAAAAATTAAGTACTAGTGTAATAATAGACTACAATTACATAAACAAGAGACGCATTATCCAAAAATTTTCAGATAAGTCTACAGGTGAATTATCAGTATACGGCGCAGAAAGTTTTAAAGAAACACGTTAAAAGTTACGTTGGATAAGCTGATTATGGATTTAAATAAAAGGAGACAAGTCTATGAGACATATAGCAAAAAATTCAAATTTTTAATGGATTTGCAAGACAAAAATATCGAAAACATAGATTTGGAAATTGCAATATCCCGATGACGTAGACGAGCATTTATTGAATGAGTGCATTCAATTAAAATCGTACTTACTCCAATCTATGTCTGAGTCTTACACCTCTTGCAGTGACATTTTTATGCTCATGTATGAAAATAAACTTATTAACGTGTTCCCTAACTGCTATACCATTTTAAAGATTTTTTTAACATTGCCAATCACTAGCTGTGAAGCAGAACGCTCCTTCTCCAAGATGTCCTATGTAGAAAATAAATATAGGACAACAATGTCGAACCATCGACTAAATAATTTATCACTTCTTTCCATAAATTGTGATCTAACAAAAGACTTAGAATGTGATGACCAAATAACTGTTAATTTCTGTTACTACAACCTATCAATTTCTTTTACTAATTCATAATAAGTAAATAAATAAAATTGTTTTATTGTTTTCTTATATTCTTATAAAATATCACTATTTCGGTTTCTCTCTCACCCAAAGTTTGCCTGGAAGAGATTGCTACCACAGCAATAAGGTCGCCTTTTGTACAACTAATACTTGCGTAGATTTAAGTAACATTTATGTTACTTAAATCCACATATCACAAATACCGTAGTCTACAGCATAATAGGCAGAGAAAGAGAATTGCTCAATATAATAAAAATAAAAATAAACATCATACTTAGGGCATATACCGTATGATCGAAAAAAAACGGCGTCCAGTTGGCTGGGAAATGACGATCGATGCCATTTCCCATATAAATTTACATATAAAATGACAGCGATCTTCATTTCATAGCCAACGCTGACGCCGTTTTTTCTCGATCATACGGTATTAAGAAATGAAAAATACCACGTCTTACAACTGACAGTTAAGGGTAAGATTGAAGGAAAGAGAGGTCTCGGCAGGAAGAAACTATCTTGGTTGAGAAACATCAGAAACTGGACTCACCTAACTTTTGAAGAACTCATAAGGAAAGCCGAGAATCGTGAAGATTTTGCCAATGTGATCGCCAACCTCCACGAAAGAGACGGCACGTAAAGAAGAAGAATAATAATATATCATTATAGAAACAGTTTTTTGATATGGCTATTAGTTGAGTACTTATGTAGGCATCTAAGTAGTTTCAGCCCAGGGCCCCACAAATTCACGATCCGCCCCTGCATTTAAAAATCAAAAGTTGTAGTCATTTCCGGTGAAACAGGAAGTGACAGAAAACGATTGAATAATCGATTCGATCAATATAAGATATTACGCATGAAGTGGGCGGAGCTTAACAGAACATTACTATCCGGGTGACGTCATGCGCGCGGAAAACCGATTTGCCACCCCCAGGGATCTTCTGAGAGAAGATATTGCGCATGTAGTTGGCGGAGTTTAACAGAAAATTACTACCCGAGTGACGTCATGCGCGCGGAGAACAGATTTGCGACCGCCAAGGATCTTATCTGTCGATCAATTCTAATTTATGTCATATACTAACATACCAAATCTCGTTTTTTATCTGAAAAAATAAAAAAGTTATAGGAGTGAGCTACTTTTGAGACGTACCCGGTATTGAAAAACAGAATAACAAAAAAAAACAATAATTTTAAAGATTGCATATCTCTACCCTATAAAACGTTCATTAACTGTTTAACAATTATTAAAAAAAATCTTAGTTGATAAACTCTGTTCCTTTCCTAATCTAATATTTCGTGGATTTTGTATCAGTTTGCCCCATCTCGCAAAATTAATATTCAGTTCCAGTTGCCGTCTAAAATGAAATTTAAACACAATAACGCTCATCAAAACATATCTGTTGCTCGGGCTAAAGATAACTCGATATTATAGCTTCGTTTTGTCATACACAAAACGAGCAAGACGAGCCTTTTGTGACGATTTCACGGCTCGTTACGTATCTACAAGGCCTTTGATATGCTTTTGTCACGCTTCCCTAATTATTGATTACATAATTTATGCCCCTTCAGTGCATTACTTCGGATTTATTATTTTAAATAATTTGGTAGCAAAAACAAGTTAGATATACTACGTAATTTTATATTTAGTTAAAATTTAATTTTAATACAATTTTTTGAAAGAGTTTAATATATCAATCATAGGCAACCAGTTATACATACTGTAGTTCCATAAAGTTTAATGATTTCTCGTTATGTGGCGCTGTAAACTAAAAATAGTTGAAGGGTAACTCTCAAGATGGCAATTACTTCGCGCAAAAATGAAATTACTTAAATCATTTTTAGTTATAAAAATCTGTATAGAAATTTAATTTAAGAGCATTGCTTAAAACAGCTGAGTTAAGCCGATTTTGTAAATACAGTCCCATAAAAAACATAGAATGTAAAAAATGTAAAGTCTGGCAATACAATTCTTCCTCTTAGTTTCTCTTTAAGCACCTATTCAACAATTTTGTTACAAATTGTTAGTATCAATATTAGACATCTTTATTTCTGAAATAATTATATTGACTTGGCAAATGCACGATATGATATTCTCTGCCATTTAAAAAACTTTATTCTTAAGGGCACTGTTTATATTTACTTAGTAATAGAGATGGTAGATTATTTTTTTAATTAGCGTGTACCCGCAATTTCGTTCGCGTCGAATTAATCATTTGTAATGGTGATGATAAAGCAGAGCAAGAATTTCCATTAACATACAAACTGGATAAAATTTTCTCACATTTATGTCAGCATGAGAAAAAAACAACATGGCGATATTATTATATAACTTGGTAATATTTGAGGAGTAGTTTCATCTCGTTGGAATATGACTTTCGAAAAATTCGTTTTCCAAAAATAAGCTTTTTACGTCAAGCAGTTTAAGCAGAATCGCGGTTAATCAATTACCCAACTTTTTTGGAACACTCTGTATGATTTTTTAAAAAAATTCAAAATATGTAAAAAAACAAAATAAATTATGCGTATCCAAGCGTTTTCCCGAAAGATTAACCGTTTTTTAAATAACAAATATTGTAATATTTGAGGGGCGTTTTCACCCCCTTGGAGTTTGAGATTTGAGAAACCTCTCCTTATCGAACCTCTACACCCCACAGTCAATCCGTTTGCCAAAAATCAGCTTTAAACGTCAAGCAGTTTAAGTAGAATCGTGATTACTCAATGGTCATGTTTCATGAAATACCTTTACAACTTCAGATTAAAAAATAAAAATATTATCTTATTACATAAATTTATTAACTTATTATATTTATAATTTAATAATATCACACAATATGACAGAATAATATTAAAAATTCGATGTTATTTTCCACAACACTAATTCTTTAACTTTATCATAAACAAAATACTGTGGAAAATCTGTAGTCTGTTCTTCTATCGTCAAGTTTTTTAAAGTACTTAGTTTTTCAACAAAGTAGTCATAACAGGGGGCACTTGTATCACAATCTCTTATAGTAAATACGTAGCGTTTTTCTAGTGCGACGTACAATGCTCTTTTGGGTGGAATGTCTAGAAGTTTTTGTACAGTTTTGATGAAAGCGTCTGTAAGGTGATCGTCGTATACAACTAAAAGAAAATAATTCTCTATATACATATACTCCCTTAATAAACTAACTATAATACAAAAAATGTCCATACCTATGTGGCGGATTCATCTCTCCAAAAAATGCGATATGTGTATAGTTAAAATATATGTGAATGCGATAAATTTTACATTGGTGAAACATCTAGACCCTTAAATGTTCGAATTAAAGAACATAAAGATTATTTAAGAGAGGGAGATTTTCAGAAATCTAATGGAGCGTTTACACTTGAGCACGCACGAGCTGAGCGTACGCGCACGGCATTCGTTCGCGCTCTCGGCTCCATTCAAATTAAAAACTTATTTTTCAACGAATCAAGTGATCCACTTGTGCGTGCACAGTACAGTTGTGTTGGCGAAAATAATGGACGACCAAGAAATAGTCGGGGCTGCAGTCATTGTTATGCACAGCTTAATTATTAAAAAGGAGAAAAATCGAAAATATCGTCGCTGGTGGTAAACCCAAATTTTTAGAAATCGATATAATTTACTACAACAACTTAGTGTCTGAGGAGGGCTATGATCAGTTCAAAAACTTACCAAGAATAACCAGGCCCGACTTTGAATACACAAAACTTACGAACAAAAGATACAAATTCTAGAATAGCAATTTAATTAATATTGACATATTCAATATTAATTTTATTTACAAGATCTTACCATGCGTTATTTTTTTTTTTTGGTTTTTTAATATATACGAAGAAAGTTTAACATCCCATAATATAGGCAACTTTTCATATTCTTCAATTAATAATAACGAAAATTCATTGATCCACTGCATAATTTTAATAAAGAAATCGAAGAAAAATCACACACGCACGCACGAACGCAGACAAAACAAATTGCCGGTGCAAGTTGAGCGTTCGCGCACACATAAAATCCCTTTGAGCAGGACCAAAAACCGATACCAGACGGCTCACGTTCGCGGCTGCTCGCGCACAGGTAGATTCAGAGTGAGCGTGAGATCGAAGGATCAGTGTGTGCGTACTCAAGTCTAAACGCACCATTAGGTTTACAGATATACAAATTTGCCTACCGAACAAAAAATGCTTAACGTTTCGGAAAATTTATCCGTCGTCGGAAGCAAAAAAATACAAAGAATAAAGAAAAAAACTATTTAAATTCAACTATTCGAGAACACTTTAGTTTTTTAAAACAGATAGGTACGTCTACAAAAACCGTTGACGTTCTGTTAAAATGACATTATATCAAGTTAAACTTCAAAATTAACAATTACTACAATTACTTAATAAGGTAAAACCCAAAAGCCCCAAATTTTCTGTATGATTATTTTTAATTTTTACGTATGTTATGTTTATTTACGTTATGTTCTTTTAAATCAAAGAAGCAATTGCCATACATTACTAACATCTACAGATGCATGAGCAATACATTTACTTTTATTAGATGGTATTAAAAAAGCCTCTTTTATTTTTCTTTTAGAGGCTATCGCTTCTTTCATTATAATTTTGGCGTTATTAAAATTTATTCTGTGCCCTGTGTCCCATGAATGCTGACAAATCTTATGGTGCGTTTAGACTTGAGCACGCACGCTCACTCTGAATCTGCCTGTGCGCGAGCAGCCGCGAACGTGAGCCGTCTGGTATCAGTTTTTGGTCCTGCTCAAAGGGATTTTATGTGTGCGCGAATGCTCGTGCAAGCTGAGCAATTTCGTTTTGTCTGCGTTCGTGCGTGCGTGTGTGATTTTTCTTCGATTTCTTTATTAAAATTATGCAGTGGATCAATGAATTTTCGTTATTATTAATTGAAGAATATGAAAAGTTGCCTATATTATGGGATGTTACACATTCTTCGTATTACTAAAAAACCAAAAAAAAATAACGCATGGTAAGATCTTTTAAATAAAATTAATATTGAATATGTCGATATTAATTAAATTGAGATTCTAAAAATTCTATCTTTTGTTCGTAAGTTTTGTGTATTCAAAGTCGGGCCAGGTTATTCTTGGTAAGTTTTTGAACTGATCATAGCCCTCCTCAGACACTAACGGCCGTATTCACAGTCAATCGCCAGCCTCCCGCTGGCGGAAGCTTTCCCGAAATTCTTCGTTATTATTTCAGAGTCGAGCGCTCTCCGAGTAAAGCTTGTCGCCCACTTGGCCGTCACGTCCCGTCCCGTTCCGGCCCGTCAAAATACGGATAGGATTAAAACCATGCAAATGAATAGACTACCGCACATTAGCCCGTCACGGCACGGAACGGCGAGTCCGTCGACGGAACAGATTCCAGCTCTCCGACTCTCCCCGTCAAACGACGGGACGGGCCGGTCAAGTGTACGCGGAGCCGGCCGGCCGGCGCTGGCCTGCATTAACTTGTGAAAGCCTGTCGATCGCATATATGTTTTGCAATTATTTTGGCAGTTGTTATTGTTAAGTCCGAGAAAGCAGTCCTAAGAAAAAAATTAGGGAAATTAAATCGTTAAATAAATGATGGGACTCTCCGCGTTCAGTCCGCTTTTGATTAATGGGGTGGACCCACATTTTTTCTTTATCTTCTATTTATTTTCTTCTTCTTCTGCCAAAAATGCGGCCGCTACAATAACTTCTTCATCAGAACTGCTGCTTTCACACATAGTGACTCTGTCACTGCTACATGTAAACTAAAACAAAAAGATCTTCGCAACATACGACCGCGACGTGACGGCTTGCCGGTTTCCTGCGGCAAAGTGGGCGACCAAGCTCTCCGTCGCCTGCAGGCGACGAGCAGCTACGGTCCGTGCTGTGCCGGACAAGTGGGCGACAAGCTTAACGCGTGCGCACATCCGTCATATAGAGTAACCGCTCTCTCGCCGGCGGGCGGTTGGATAAGCATTTTTTTCCCGTTTTATAGTCGATCTCCAGGCGAAGAACACTTGCGCAGTTTAAACCCCATCCGGTGATTTTCGGGCGGCGACTGGAGCATGTCCTTACCATTTCCGGGCGGTCCGCCAGTTTAGTCTGGTTTATTTCTCTAGTTGAAAGAAGCACCAAGCAAACTGAATTAATTATGGATATTTATAATATTGTGACGATTAACGAGAATGATGACATTCGTATTTTTGAGGCCATTATTCATTACATTTGAGCCATATGAATTCCGTCCGTCTATTTGACCATTTAAATGTTTTATCGTTTTGTTTTTGTTATGTTTATGATTTTTTATTTTTCCTATTGTTTTTACGTTTATTACATTAATTCTCTTTGTAATTTACACAAACTGGAAAAAATATACCAAATTCACCAAACATCAGTCATCTACACAAAACAAAAATAGGGCCAATTTAAAAATATAAATTACTTCTACTCTGGTCATATTTTCCCTTAAAATAATTTTAAAATCCTTAACACAGCACCAATAGGTTAAGGTTAAGGCACAGTTAAGGTCTATAAAAATTTATAAACGTAATAAAAACGAATCCATAAAACTTTCAAATAAAACCGAACAGACCTATGGAATTCCCCATTATGTAAATTATTAACTTAATATCTTTTTTATTATGACCCGAAAATATACCTAGCCAAAAAAATATGTATATAAAAAATTGTAAATCTTTTTACTATAAGTGAAGGATTACGAAGATATTATTCATTACTTTAAAACAAATTATAACAAAATAATGGACACATCAATAAAATATTTAAATTACCCCATATCAATAAAATATTTAAATTATTAATATTTAAATATTTAGAGAATGTTAAAGTTCGTATAACCGATTTTGTGTAGAAAAAGGAAGAAAATATGTTCCCTGTTGTTAAAACCCTCCACCCGAAGTGAAATTTTGTCGGCGACGCGCCGTCATTTTCGCCAGCCAGCGGTGCGCTGGCGGCCGACTATGAAAGAACTTTTTTTCTCTCCCGATATCGAAGCGCTCGCCGGAGAAATCTTCGGAGCGCTCGCCGGAGAATTCTTTTCGGCGGGCGGCTGGCGCTCGACTATGAATACGGCCGTAAGTTGTTGTAGTAAATTATATCGATTTCTAAAAATTTGGGTTTACCACCAGCGACAATGTTTTCGATTTTTCTTCTTTTTAATAATTAAGCTGTGCATAACAATGACTGCAGCCCCGACTATTTCTTGGTCGTCCATTATTTTCGCCAACACAACTGTACTGTGCGCGCACAAGTGGATCAGTTCATTCGTCGAAAAACAAGTTTTTAATTTGAACGGAGCCGAGAGCGCGAACGAATGCCGTGCGCGTACGCTCAGCTCGTGCGTGCTCAAGTCTAAACGCACCATAACTGCTGACAAGTAGTTTTCGTTTGGATTAACGCAGCAGTGTTTACAAAGAATAACTATTTTATTTTGTAGATTTTCTTGCATTGGCGAAATACCCATATAGAATTTTTTGGAGTAATACTATTTAGTTACTTAAAGTATTATACGGTACAGGTTAAATTTAAATTGAACAACATACCATCTGCTGCTATGATAATAGACACTTTCGGCAACAAACCAATAATCCTTTCTGATAAGTTATCAACCTTAAAATCTAGTTCCTCAATTTCCACAGGGTATTTCGTTATATGCCTGTTTCTAACGACGTTTGCTTTAATTATATCAAATATCTGACCTCTGTTAACATCTAGAACAATTAAAAAAATGATAGCGTATAAAACATCAATTCTATGCTATTAATTGTGTTTATTTACCTGTGCATATAACTGGACAAAACAGGGAGGCTATAACAGAAGTCAAACCGACTCCACTGCCTAATTCCAGAATATACTCGTCTTTAGAAATAGATTTTCCATTGTGAAGTAACCAGTCGGATAGTAGTAATGAACCTCTCCATATTTGGTGACCAACAAGATCCAAACTAGTGCTGCAGCTGTGTTCTTTAACAAAAATATATTAATAAAACCCGCTTTTAAATGTATCAAATTTAATTAATGTCATCGATCGTCATTTCCCAACCAACTGGACGCCGTTTTTTTCCGGAAACTATCGAAATATATTTACTCATATCTTAGGATTATGTAAAGTGATCTGAAAGGCAGCCAAAAGTGCAATAATATACAAGTCTATTTTTTTTTCTTTTTCTTAAACCTTTAGAATTATATCCATATATATTTTTGTTTTTCCTTTCTTGGGTATGAGGGTTTTTTTTAATTAATTGAAAATGGAAACTTTTTTTTTATTATGCGACGTTTCGCCTCATCATGGTGGGCTTTCTCAGGCACTTTATTCTTGAAGCCGCAGCCGCCTTGCTACCACCAGTCTATATAGAAGAATAACAGTAACATCTTTAATTAATAAAAAAAACCTCATACCCAAGAAAGGAAAAAAAATATATATATGGATATAATATACAAGGTGTTACATTTAAAAAATATACCGATCCACTCACAGTTTTTTGAGTCACCCTATAGAAGTTAAAATATATTCCTGAAATACATCCTAGTACATACTTAAACTTTTTTTTTGCTCGCTCTTAAATAAAATCAGGGGCGGCTCGTAGCACTGGAAGATGGTGAGGCACATTAGAAGAGAATTTTTATTAGTATGTATATGGGTGGCCATTAGTACGAGGAAGTTCTATATAAAAAAGTACATATCCTAAAAAAATATTTTCTTTAAAATTGCAATCGCATTACCATTTTTCTGTACAGAATTGGGTTCAGCATAAAATTCAGAACACATCACACTATTGATTTATTTGAAGCACTATATATGCGGGATTTCCATGATAATTCATATCTGAACAATTTCAGCTTTTAAAAAGTGGTAAAAACCTGGAGTGAATTTAACTTATTGATATATTATTGCTTAAGTACGTATAATATAGCGAGGTATGTAGGATAAAAGAAGAAATCGGAGAAAAATTCACATTCACAGGGATTTTTTTATGGCGCGGCCAACATTGCAATATTATAATGATATATCTCAGTTTTTTTTTAAATGCAATACACACTGTATATTATTTTTAGTATTTTAGATACCTACAGACTTAAAAAGCGCACATTTTTATATTTAAAATATTTCTAAATTTTTAGCAGTTGCGGAAATAGCCTTATGCAATATAATTCGCAGTATTATACCGTACTGTTACGTTTTTCGTCGGTTCCGTGTGGATAGAAAGTCACAATTTATTTAAACACTATTTATTTAACACTAATTAACAAAAACAATAACGATAAAAGACTTATAGAACTATTTACAAACGATTTATAACTAAGAATTTATTTTGAATTTTAGCGCGTCAACTGCACTGGTATATTTATAACTGCCCTCTCTAGGCCACTGCCGCCGGCTTTTATACCGACAGGTAAAAGAAATCTAGAATAGTCCAAAGATCGTTAGGCGCATAGAGAAGGTTTTCGAATGTTCTCGTATGTACGCGTCCATTCTAGTGGGTCTCGATTCTTCTCGAACGAATGAATCATTGCGGTGTCTATGCGATGTTAAGGTCATCCGAGGGCGGGCCATATTGTGAGGTTAGGTCGAGTCCACACCGGCTCGCAACACTGCCCCCTTCTTAGGCACATGCTCGTCCCGAGATGTATACGGTGAATGAAGGTATTTGCAAAGCTGGCCCCTGGTACATTGCGAAGTCTGGTAAAAATAGCAGTCTACAGTTTTCTCTCCCGATCTCAGCTTTGGGTTGTAGCAGCAAACGAGGATCTCGATTCCCGTAAATCTGAACAAGACTTCAATCATGTTCCGGATTGTACGCCAACTCAAACCATCTAGTCCACACGCCAGCTTCGGAATGGCTAATCGTGCAATGTTGTTGTTTAGCAGGGCTTCTCTCAGTTCAATCAGGGTCTTCCATAGATTGAGATAAGTCGGCTTACTCGGGGACCATTCCTTGGTAACTAGGTAGAAGATGTGCCTTGCTTGACCATGTGCATTGTCGGTTAGCCTCAAGACGCTTCCAACCTCTGGATCCTGTCGGCGTAGTTCTCCGACACGCCCAAACTTCTCATTGAACGTCGCAGCGATTCCTCTGGACATCCGCAAATCTCGAGCCACACAATGAGCGAGCGAATAATCAGGAGGCACGGAAAAGAGGTCTCGTTGATCTTCTTTGGTTACACCATAGCGAGCCTTCTCACTGCTGTTGTATCGGGCCATGAAATCGTCAAAGGACATCTCCGAATCAGGGGATCAAAGCTGCAGGTTCTCACGGTCCCAGCACGATCTTCTATTTCGCCTTGGTAGGGGCTCAAACGGTTGAAATGGACTACCCTCGGTTTTCCTTTTGGCAATTTTCTGATACGGTATACGACGTCATTAATCCTATCCATGACTTCGTATGGGCCTTCCCACGAGGATTGTAGCTTCGGTGTGGCTTTGGTGTGGCTGTTGTACAGCCACACCAAATTCCCTGGTTGGTATCCCCCATGCTCAGCTTGAATGTCGTAGTGCTCCTTCATCCGGTCACTAGCGCTTTGAATATTTAAGCGGACTCGCTGATGGATGTCGTCCATCCTTTGACGTAGTCTGTGGACATAATCTTCTCCAGCGACATCTTCTCCCGGTCGGCAACCAAACTTCAGATCACAAGGTAGACGCACTTCCCGTCCCATAACGATGCTGGCTGGAGTTTGCCCTGTGGATTCTTGGACGGATGAGCGGTAGGCCAACAGGAACAGGTGAAGGAATTTGTCCCAGTCTCTTTGATGGTCAGAGACTACTTTGGCCAAATAACGGTTGATGGTTCTGTTCATGCGTTCAACCATCCCATCGGATTGTGGATGTAGAGCCGTCGTCCTGGTCTTGCGGATGTTAAGGACTTCACAGACGCCTTGGAACAGATTGGACTCGAAGTTTCTTCCCTGATCTGAATGCAGCTCCATGGGAACACCAAACCTGCAGATCCATTCCTTAACAAGAGCATCAGCAATCGTGGACGCTTCTTGATTTGGCAACGCGTAGGCCTCGACCCATTTGCTGAAGTAATCCATTACTACCACAATGTATTTGTTGCCATCGTTCGTCTCCGGGAAAGGACCAGCCACGTCGATCGCTATTCGTTCGAAGGGACTACCAACATTGTACTGGCGCATAGGGGCTTTACCACGCTTTTGTGGCCCATTAATGGCTGCGCAAATGTCACATTTCTTACACCAGGCCCTCACATCTTCTTTCCACTTCACCCAGTAGAACCGTTCACGCAGCTTGCCAAGTGTCTTGGTAACACCAAGATGTCCACCGCTGGTTCCATTGTGAACTTCCGCCAAGACTTCCGGGACCCTCTTCTTTGGAATGACGATCTGCCTTCTCTCTTCTTGTCCCTCTGGTCTCACAATCACACGGCGAAGTAATCCGTTATCTATTACCAATGAATTCCACTGGACCAGTACGACTTCACGTTCGGCGAATATCTGCAAACTTCCTCCCACGTTGGTCTCTGGTCCGCGTTTTTCCAGTTAATCACCAAGCCCAACTCTGGATCACTGATTTGGTCATTTGCAAGATCTTCGGTTTGCCAACTATCACCAACCACAGTCGTCCTTAAGACTTTCACTTCTTTCTCTTCTTTGCAACGATTTCCCATCTGTCCGCAATTCCAACAGCGAATCGGTCCCCCCTTCTTACTCATATACTGATCCAGTACTTTCCGCACAATCCTTTCCACTTTGGAATCGTCGGAACTCTCCTCAACAGCCCGTACAAATCCTAGAGACCTAGAGCATTCTTTCGCGGCCTCAAATTCCAGGGCACGTGCTAGGGCATCTCCCAAATGCGTTGGATGAGCTAAAAGAAGTGTTTGCCTTGTCTCGTTGTCACATAAACCATCAATAAAAGCCTGTACTTTTAAGCGCTCCATAACATTTTCGGGCATAGCAGGGTACGCAAGGCGAACGAGGCGGGCTACGTCGGCTTCAAACTCCTGCAGAGACTCATTTGACTTTTGAATGCGATTTTTTAGCTGGGAATGATAGACATGTTCCAAATGAGCTTGGCCGTACCTCATTTCTAAATGTCGTACCAATTGCTGATAATCTCCCTGTTCCGATGGTGACAATGTCTGCAGGGTATCAGTCGCATCTCCTCGCAGTGCGACAGTCAAAGCGGTAGCCTTTTCAGCGATTGTCCATCCGTTCGCTCTCGCAGCGGCCTCAAACTGGCAAAAATAATTGGCCCAAGCGGTTTTTCCGTCAAACTGTGGAGGCTTAATAACTGACTTTGAGATATACTTATTTTCGACTAGTTTCGGTGCCTCCGATGTTTCTTGACATTTTGGTGAATTGGCCTTTTCTATTTCTTGTTTTAAAATTTCGATTTTTTTATTTACATCGTCCTCAATTTGTGTTATTTTGTCTTGTAGTTCTGTAGAATTATCTATAATCTTTTCTTCTAATTCCCTGGAAGATTCCTGGATTTCTGTTATCTTTTCTTCTAAATTAAGTATTTTATTATTAAAGCTGGCCTGTATATCTTTAGAATTTTCGATGATCTTATCTTCTAATGTATTGATTAAATCCTGGGAATTTTCCATAATTTTATCACTGATTTTCTCTTCTAAATTAACTTCCAAGTCAATTATTTTACTATTCAAATTGTTCAAGTTGTCGTCTAATTTTTGAGAATCTCTGTCATTTTATCATTCAAATTCTCTTCCAAGTTAATCATTTTACTATTCAAATTGTTCAAGTTGTCGTCTAATTTGTGTAGGCACGAGTCAAGGTCACCTTCCAACTCAAAGCAAAATGTGTCAGGATCCTCACCTTCCTCCACCAAAACGTCTCTCAGTCTAGCTTGCAAAATGCTTTTTCTTTCCATCTGTTTCGCACTCTCTCTCTTCCAATATGCATTTCAGTTCGGACACTTTCAAATCTTTCAACAATTTTTTTCAGAGCCATGGTCAGTCTTTTTTATTCTTCTAGTCTATCACACACGCACACTTGACACCAATTGTTACGTTTTTCGTCGGTTCCGTGTGGATAGAAAGTCACAATTTATTTAAACACTATTTATTTAACACTAATTTACAAAAACAATAACGATAAAAGACTTATAGAACTATTTACAAACGATTTATAACTAAGAATTTATTTTGAATTTTTGCGCGTCAACTGCACTGGTATATTTATAACTGCCCTCTCTAGGCCACTGCCGCCGGCTTTTATACCTACAGCAAAAGAAATCTAGAATAGTCCATAGATCGTTAGGCGCATAGAGAAGGTTTTCGAATGTTCTCGTATGTACGCGTCCATTCTAGTGGGTCTCGATTCTTCTCGAACGAATGAATCATTGCGGTGTCTATGCGATGTTAAGGTCATCCGAGGGCGGGCCATATTGTGAGGTTAGGTCGAGTCCACACCGGCTCGCAACAGTACGATCGAAAAAAAACGGCGTCCAGTTGGCTGGGAAATGACGATCGATGACATTTCCCATATAAATTTCCATATAAAATGACAGCGATCTTCATTTCATAGCCAACGCTGACGCCGTTTTTTCTCGATCATACGGTATCTATTACATAGGGCTATTGCAACAGTAAATTTTTATCAAAGCGACCTCAGGATATTTTCTCTTATATTTTACTCTGTATGGTAAAATTTTGTTTTTCTACCCATCCTATAAAAATAAAACAAAACGAAATCTGTAACAGGTCGCTTTACTTTTTGACTATACACAATTTATCTAGAAATGATTCGAAAAACTTTACCTGGGGAAGTCCTCTGATGATGCATGGTCCCTCTAAATCATCATATCAATCAACAATAGTCACTGCCCACTTTTTAGGTATTTACTTAATATGTACAATAATTAGTAAAAAGAGTAAAAACGTGCAATTCACATTAAAAAACGTAGATATTAATCAATTAGAGACAAAACAGTGTCATAACCGGCAGAATTAATTCAAACTCTGATTCAAACTAAGCCAAATTCCCAAATAATGCAATTCTGCATTTTCAGCCTGTCGCCTAAAATATCTCGGGCTGATCGGGAACTGATCTAGAAGTGATACATATTTTTAACGAACGGCTTTTAAGGTTCAAATTTACATTTGAGGCTCGCCTCAATACGGTCTTTTTACGCGCTACTACTCCATACATTTTATCTCTCTTCAACTAAAGGTTTTGCCTATGCTTTTTCTTTTCATTCTATAGAGGTAAGATTCCAGTGAACGCTGTCGCTCCGTCAGTGCGGTATACCACAATACGCTAGACAAGGAAAGCCGAGAGGCAAACCTCTGCACATATACTTCTTAAAGAACAAATGAGATGGATATACATCGTCGACTTTGTCGCATATAGAAAAGGAAGCGCGTTTAAAGGAATACCATCGACGTAATTTATTGTAGAATGACGGTTAAAAAATACAATTATTATTGATGCAAATAGGGAAAAAATATAAAATTGTGATTAAAGATGTATTGATTAATACGTGTAATTTTTCAAATGTATTGGTGAGGCACTGCCTCATCTGCCTCATAGGACAAGCCGCCCCTGAATAAAATTCCCTAGTTTTTTATTCTAGAAGCTACAGATGCCCGACGCGCCATTGCCGTACCCTATATTAGCAGGTCCTTTAGGAATATCCTGTATATTTGCTACAATATAATAATACTACTAAAACAAAAGTAGTAACAGTAGCTTTTTGAAGGAGAGATTTTTGAAGGTATGACATAATTATAAGTATGACTTATAATTATTTTCTGTAATATATTTTAGTTAAATTACTACGTTTTCCAAAAATCAAAATAACAATACAAAATATAATATCGTTTAGGTATTGAAATACCTGAACTCACCTATTTCAATTGATTCCTTTTCTGATTCGAGATCAGAATTTCTTCGGGGCACTATTAAATCTCCTTCTGAATCTTCTATGGAATATGTTGGTAATTTGAACGAAAATTTGCTAACTACATCTACAAAATATCTACTGATTAAAATGGAATAACTATTAAGACATAAACATACTTTTTGGATTTACTGAAGGCTTAGATCTTGATTTGTAATCATTCTCCTCATATAATTCTGATGATATTTCGAAATCTTCCATCTCCTGAAAAAGTATTACATATAAATAAAGGAAAACTTTACAAATTACATATTAAATAATAACAATTTTTATGCCCCAGTATAAGGTTTATTTACTATTAAATCTTCCAAAGTGATATAAACAAATAAAAGTATTTGGATATTCACAGATGTTATGATGTAATGAGTAATATTGTTTTATAATAACATCTTAAATAACAAAAGAATAAGTAAATTTAAATTAATATTTATTTAAATAACTATTATTTCTTATAATTTTTAAAATTTCGCCTTCGCCATTTCGTCAATAAAAATTTAATGGCAAAAATGCTTTTGCTCTACATTTTTGCGGTGACAATATTCGATAGATAATAAATAGATAGTCAGTAAATATGAAGTCAAAGAATTTACCTTTTTGTTATCTAAAGGAACTTAATAATTTTACAATAACTGCAACTCCACTTTTTCTTTTATCAACGGATATGTTTTTTATGCTTTTTGGTAAAGAGTTGTAACATTTTTTATTTGTGTAATAAAACTCAATACCGGCTTTCAAAATTTTCATTTCAAATTTTTTAAACCACATGATATATTATTTAGAAACAAGTGGAACTTTCCTTCCATTCTGAGAAGTTTTTATATTCAACAAAAAAAAACATTTCAAAATCAACTCATTGATTTATTGCTTACTAAATAACTAAGTAGAGTATTTTCCATAGTTTTTAAATTGTCAAAAATTAATGACTACTGATAAATGTCAAAAAATAACACACATCATATTAATTATTATAATGACACCCGTATATCATAATATATCGGTAAACATGAGTTATATTTTTAGATATGTACAAAATATATCCAGATTCCAAAAAATAAATTACCATCTGAAAATTTACTCCAGATGTTTTATTTGGTGAAAAGACGAAAATATCCATTGCGGAGCGACCAGTTCTTTAAATATTTTTTCAGCGCATTGCATTTTCTTCTATTACTTTTCTGGATTTTTTCCGCCATTACCGCCACTGTACAGGGTGTCCCACTAAGAATAGCTCTCGGCTGTATCTCGGAAAGTATTAGCCGTAGGGGCTGCGGAAAAAAATATTTATAACTAAAGAGGCTATGAGAAATTGCTGGAAATTATCTCCAAGTTTGTAGAATGACCGCTAGGGGGCGCAACTGCAACAAAAAATAAGAAAATGGAGTTTTTACACAATTTTGCCTAGATAAGGTGTACTATGAGTAATAGCTTCTTAATCTTCAGTAAATTTTGAATAATTTTTGTTAGAGCCATTTTCCCCTATCTACCAAAATAAAGTGGTGGGAGAAGGTTAGATCTGTTTTTATTTAAATATTAATAACTCTGGACTGGATGATCGGAATCCAACAAGCGAGGGCTCGTTTAAAAGAGCGTTTCTTACTCTATATTATACCATATAAAAAATAATAATAAGATTTTGCACGTAGACGCTAGGGGGCGTTGTCTTACAATTTAACAAACATTGCGCGTTTTTTCAAAAAAATTAAATGCTGTAGTATATGTAATTTTAGCTGATCGGAAAGAGTAGTAAAAGCTTAAAAAGTGAGCGAAAACCGCATCTTGATATCTTCTTTCAAACCGAAGATATTAGCAAAATTATAATAAATACCAAAAAATAATCCTTTAATTACCTAATTTTTAGAACACGGTATCAGTAGCCCTCTTGTTTAGGTCCATTCTAACAAAAAATAAGATAGAAACAGTTAGTTTATTTTAAAATCGACGAAATATCAGAATACTATAATACCAGAGGTATTAATATCTAATAATTAAGATATTAATAACAGTGGACAAGAAACGATGATTCAGTGAAGTCATGGTAGGCTTTGGAAAAAAGTTGCTTTTGACATAATAGTATAAATGTCAAATTGTTATTAGATCAACATTTTGATAGTCTTAGCAGCATTTCTATCTTTTGATTGCTTTTTCAAAATGCCAACAACTTCAACTACTTCAAATAATAAAAGCAATAAAAAACGCTGCTAAGGCTATCAAAATGTTTATAATTACACACACAAATATGCGCACATAGGGCACGCATAATTTTTTTTTAATTAAAAATTTCAAAAGCTGATATGTGTTATGTTATTCTTGTACAGAATGCGATTTTCTATATCAAATAAAGTAAAAAAATACCGAGAGTACGAGTTTAAATATCTTTGGAGGGTACCATTTAAAAATAAAATTTGTAGTCATTTCCGGTGAAACAAGAAGCGAAAGAAAATAATTGAATACGTCAATCAATTCAGATTTATGGCATATACTAAGATATCAAATCTCGATTTTTCTATCTGAAAAAATAAAGAAGTTATAGGGGTGAGCCACTTTTGAAAAACACCCGGTATAAATCGTATAAATATTACTGAATTTTGTTTATTAAAGAAAACATTATATTTAGTTTAAAATAAAACTAAGTGTAACAAAACGAGTACTGGTAAATAAAATTTGAATAAAAGTATAAAAACATCTTAAAAAATTACTTTTTGTTTTATTTTCTAAAATTTCAATTATTCGAAGAATATTTACGTATTATTTCATAAATACGTAAATATTCCCCTGGGATTATCACTACATTGCCAAAAAAACAAATCGTTAAAAATGTTATTTACAACAAAAACACGTAGTAAACATATGATATATTTAGACAATCCATATTATATTAAGCCAAGGAACCTTAATTACCACTGACCTTATTTTAATTTTGGTCCTGCGACCTTAGTTTTTGAACTTTCTTCAGAACCGGGCCCGGACGACTTCGACAGTCGCTGCTACGGCGCGGCGTTGCATAATTTAAGTTTTCGTTTTGACAGGGAGTAGTCCCCCTTGCACCTGCACCTGTTTGACGTATTAATTTTAATTGGCTACGATTCCGAACTATTTTCGTAACCCGTTGGCTCGTAACTTTTTATTGGCAGGTCGCCGTAATTCGGCGTCTTACCGGGGACGATTGAAAAGTACCTATTTATTATTAAGTGAGTTAATTAATATCAGAGATTAGTATAGAATGAGTGGGAGGAAGCAGCTCACAATAGAACGCAAAGGAGCAAAATTGGAAACTCAGTTAACAGCGACAACCAAAAAGTAAAGAAACAACAAAACAATGAGATTTTTGAATGTCCGGAGTGCGGTAGGCAGATAACATCACGTATCGGGCTTTTCAGTCACAGAAAATCTCATGAAAGAAAACGCCTTGTGTGACCATCTTCTGATGCGTGTCAAATACTCGCCAGCGAGTATTGGCAGTATGAGAAGTGTCAAGCCCTAGCAGTCAACTTTTAAGCTTGACCAATCAGGTTGGTTAGCGTGGTTATTGGAAGTGTGTTAATTCATTTGTGTTTGTCAAAAACTGTAACGTGATTGGTCGGGCTTAATAGTTGCCTGCTAGAGCTAGACACAAGTGGCAGTATGTAGTATATGTTGTAATATCAGAGATATAGAGGTCTGGAGAATGAGTTTCGACGAGTCCGCGTCTAAAAATTTTCTTTTGCAACGGTGGCCGCCATGTTCGCGGTCAGGTCTACAGGGGAAATCGATAAGTAGTTTATAGTAACAAAAGATAACTTCTACTTTGAGTCTAATTTCGCCTTTGGAATGCGATTTATTTTTATTTGTGTTTCTTGAACTTATACCGGGTGCGTCTCAAAAGTGGCTCACCCTTTCACTTAACTTTTTTATTTTTTCAGATAAAAAAACGAGATTTGGTATGTTAGTATATGACATAAATTAGGATTGATTAACGTATTCAATTGTTCTGGTCACTTCCTGTTTCACCGGAAATAACCACAACTTTTGATTTTTAAAGGGCACCCTCGATATTTTTTACTTTATGCGATAGAAAATGCCATTCTGAATAAAATGACATATCATATGTAAACTTTTGACATTCTCGCTTAATAAAAAATCGTAAAATTTAAAATTCAATCTAGAGTGCCATGGATATGGAAAAACACTAATTCTTAATCAAGGAGCCATGGAATACTAGATTTGATCGTCTGTTTTTAGTGTCTTGTCCTGGCCAGTTAGAAAATGCTCAAATCGTATTTTTAATCATATCTCAATTTTTTCAAACGGAACAAGGGTGGCTTATTAGCATATTTAAAAAAAAAGCATTTTTTACGAATAATTTGATACCACACACTTGGTATTTCGAGTCAAATTTTCGTTACGAACCGCAAGTTATAATCTCCCACATGCAAAAATGTCAAAAGTTGACATATGATATGTCATTCTATTCAGAATGTTATTTTCTATCGAATAAAGTAAAAAAAACGAGGGTGCCATTTAAAAATCAAAAATTGTAGTCTTTTCCGGTGAAACCGGAAGTGACCGAAAATAATTGAATACCTCAATTAATCTTAATTTATGTCATATACTAACATACTAAATCTCGCTTTTTTAGTTGAAAAAATAAAAAAATTATAGGGGTGAGCCACTTTTGAGACGCACCCGGTAGACTGGTATAAACGTTCCTTGTATTTTTCTGAACTATTTTTACCATTTTATGTGTAATAATTTAACAATTATTAATAAGTAGTTTAGTTTAGTCAATTTTATTCTACTTGTACTTTAATCATGGCTGGTTAAAATTTTAAGAATAATGGTGGGTCCAAGAAAAATAAAATAAAATAAAATAAAATAAAATAAAATAAAATAAAATAAAATAAAATAAAATAAAATAAAATAAAATAAAATAAAATAAAATAAAATAAAATAAAATAAAATAAACCGGGTGATTTACAAAAGTGACTCACCCCTATAACTTTTTTAAATTATTCAAATAAAATATCATTATCAATTAGTTTCGATCAGTAACTGTTTCACCGGGAATGACTACAAGCAATTTATTTTTCTCTAATTGATAGAAAAGGACATTCTGAATAGAATGACATATCATATGTCAACTTTTGACTAATTCTTAATCAAGGAGCCTTGGAAAAATACATTTGATACTTTAATGTTTTTCGTGATGTTTCAAATCATAACTAAAT